GTGTGTGTGTGTGTGTGTGTGTGTGTGTGTGTGTGTGTGTGTGTGTGAGAGAGAGAGAGAGAGAGAGAGAGAGAATATATATATATATATATATATACACACACACACAAATAAAACATACACAGACATTTCTCTGTGAATTATGAGTGTGTCTCACAGTTAGTGTACAAAGAAAGGATATTTGATTGACTCTAGGACAAATACGTTTTCATTCATGTAGTTAGAGAAACTAGTTAGAATTAAAGAAAATGCAACTGCAGCACCAAACCTTTCAGCATCAGAAAGTGTGGAAGTGTGGAACAAAATGTCTTTGCAATCTGAATGTGCCACCGAGCCCCTTTATATCACCTTAGTAGTGTAAATTCTCCTTTGCATTGCCAAAACTGTGTAAAGATACCTTAGTGTAAATGAAAATCGGACCCAATGTTTCAGTTCTGCTAAAGAAGTGGCCACAAACTTAGAAGGAATCTTCTGTTTCCATATGAAAACAATTTTAAAAGTAACAAAAAATACAGATGCAACCACTATCTCTCTCCTTTGTTATCTTCTAGCTGCATTTCTTTAAGAGATGGTGTGGTGTAGCAAAGCAGCAGGATGGACACACAAACATACAGACAACGTGAGCTTCTTTACCCTTGACATTCACTTTTGATGTTTCAAAACAAACACAGGTTCTTGCATGCCTTCCCGGAGTAATTGCAGTCTAAGGATGAGAATTTCTTTAAAAGGGTTTTGATAAGGTCTAATTTAGTCATCTATTACAAGCCCTAAACCTTTAATTTTACTGAAAACAATAATAGAACTAGATTGCTGTTTTCTACAGAATTAGAGGTTACTAGCTCTTTCTAGTGCAGTTATATATGCTCCTGTAATTACCACCGAAGCTTTGACTCCAACAAAAGTCAGTTTCATTCATTTTCTCAGGGGTGTCTTAGTATTTTGTTTACCAATATTGCACTGCAGAATTCTCTTCACCCAATTTACCTTGGCCCTCACACTTAATTACAAAGGAGTGACCTGGAAGAGATTGGGTTAATGCCAACAAAAGGTACATTGTTTGTCAACCAAACAAACCTAAAACTGAAGGTACTTGAAGTTTTTATATGACTGTTGTCAGGCTTCAATTTACTTATTCCAAATCTTTGTTTTTTATTTGTGTCTGACTGCCTTGGTTACAAGGCAAGCTGTGTTTTAGACCCCTTTGCAGCCCTTCTTGAGTGCACCCCACAGGCACCAATTCCTGCCTCTCTCTCAGGGGAAAAAACCCACAGTTCAACCACTTTGGGACTGGATCTCTGGGTTGCAGCCCCCTGTAATACAACAGGCCCAAAGGTATTTGACACCTGCAAGAAAACTTCTCTCTGGGAACCTGTGACCTACTGTGGTTGATATGACCCCAAAACAACTTCTTCAAAACAAACATATTGTTTATTTCACCCACAGCTATATAAAAAGCAGAGAAACGGTCAAAACAACAAAAGCTTATGCCCATCTGTTCTCACCTACACTTTATCCCTTCCTTGAAGTTTTTGGTAAGTTCCATTCAACCCAGGCCCCCTACTTCTGGGCTGGGAAAAACACACTGCGCTGCCACATTCTCTCATGATGGTGTGTCTAATCTGCTTTGTTAACCTGGATGATTGGCAACTGGGTCTAGCCCAGGTGTGAGCATCCCCACTGCAAAGCTCAGCCCATGTTACTGTGTCATAGAATCATAGAATCTCAGGGTTGGAAGGGACCTCAGGAGGTCATCTAGTCCAACCCCCTGCTCAAAGCAGGACCAATTCCCAACTAAATCATCCCAGCCAGGGCTTTGTCAAGCCGGGCCTTAAAAACCTCCAAGGAAGGAGATTCCACCACCTCCCTAAGTCATCTCTGTTTCTGCACTCACCCAGGTGTATCTGGGGGCGTTTCCTATAGTTCTTTGAGCTGAGATGCTCTAGGATATTTTCCCAGTCCATTGTGGGAGAACTTGTCTGTCTGTCAGAGGAAATCATGGGATGGCATTGGAGCACTCAAGAAATTTTGCCCGCATCCTCATTGCAAAATAGATAGCTTACAGCCTGAGTTAAAATGGCAACCAGAGGTTTGTCTGTGTGGATGGTAGGTGAGCTTTTGGCAATACCTGGGAAAAAGCCCAGAGGAACTGTGCAGTGAAGATGAACCCTCTGTCAGAGACTCACCTCTAACAGCTGCTGCCAACTCCCCACTCCTTCCTCTCTAAGCAGGAGCCTTTAGTGTCCCTTTGATCTCTGGCTGTGACCTTGGAAAAATAAGCCTCTTAACCTGGCTAGAAATAGGCAGGTAGGTATTTCCCCCCTTGTTCTCTTAAGGATACTTGATAGTTTCCTTGGTATTTTATCTCATTATTTCATTTCTTGTTTGTTTACCCCTAACATCCTCCTTTGATTTAACTCCATGCATACGGGCAGAATAAGCAATTAAACTGAGGTCAATATGATATATTTTAAAAACAGTACAGATATCTCCTTCATTCTCCACATTGACTCACAGTTCTCAGCATGTCGAGCGGAGGACAGAATTAGGGACCACATGACAAGCACATTTAGTCACTCACTGCAGACTTCATAAGCTTGGTCTACACTACAGAGTTAGGTCAATGTAAAGC